GCAAACTTGTACCCTGTGTCGTATATGCTGATAAGAAGAAAGTTTACCGAAAATGGTACAATACAGAGAGACGCTGTCATCCAACCTTTAGGTTGACTGAATGCCTGCCTCTGATCCTTTGTAGAGCTGGCAAACGCCAGACTGTTCCATGTGTCCGACAGTTGCTCAGCTGGTGAAGTTTGCACCCAGAATATAACCTTGTAGCATGAAATGCCCAGAATGATGGTGCTAATGATAGCCGTTAAGCCAAAGCGAACGAACGTTTTGGTATAAACGGCAACAAGTTCAATATAGGGCACATATTCGTCATGACAACGACAACCTTCAGTGTCCAAATGCGTTTTATAGGCCTGGGGAAGCATGAAGACGAGGCTAACGACAGCCAGGACTCCCAGGTAGGCAAGATCGGCAATGCGAGACGACGAATAGGAGTGCTGGTATCTCAAGACAATTTGAATCGCCCTGTTTCCCACTGTGAAATTCAGAAGTAGGGCCGTAAATGTGTGAATAGCGACAGAGAGATAATGACTCCTCCATATGTGGCACAGAAGCAGATCAATAGTGTAATTACTGGGCATGTTGTCGTTGGGGATGAGGCGATCGCAAATCTTGAGGAAATTGTACAATACCACGGAAGCAGTTAGAGCACGCATCTGACACAGGAATGTCTTGGTTGGCCCTTTTAGAAGAAATAGAAGAACCAGCACCCCAAGATTAAGTACCAGGCTAACGGCGTTCATGAGGACGTTGAGGACAAAATAGACATCTCTCGGTCGTCTTCCGTCTACGCATTTCCAAAATACCTTTTCCATTTTCCCTTCTGTGCTTTCTGTTTATGTCTATACATATATATAAAGAATGTGCCTGCTCTTATCGGTCGAGCAACCCCGCCTATTTGTAAGTGCCTGTTTGTCATCACATTCCTCTAGGAAGATATCATTTTTCACAAAGGTCGCTCACAAGCATGCCTCCTCCCTAGCCCTCGACTATGTGCCTTAAATCCACTGTTGTCCCCCCCC